GGGCCCGGAGGGCGCGGGGGGCTGCTGTGAGCTGGGGACTGAAGGCGGTCTTGGCTTCAGGGCCCAGGAGGAACTGCTGCTGCTCTTCACCATGGCTTCTCTGCACCCGGCTTTCTGGTTCCACCAGCGGGTCACCCTGAGGGAGCACCTGGAGAGGCTCCGCAGCGCGCTCCGCGTGGAGCCCGAGGACCCGGAGGTGGAGCCGTGCAACTTTGCGGGCTTCAGGGCCCAGGTAAGGCGCACTGAGATGCGAAGGAGTGGCGGTGCGGTCCCAGCTCCGGCCCCGCCCTCGGAGGCCCCGGCATCCAGCTCCGACCCCAGCTTCGTGCAAGGTGTCTGGGAATAACCACGCCGCGCCTCTCATCCCAGGGTAGCTCTCCCCATTTTCTTGGGCGTCTTAGCACCCGCATACACATACAAGCCACCCGCCATAACAGAATGCTCTGGAAGTCTCCTCTACGTGCACGATTTGCCACGAAAGACGTGGAGCTCCCTGACCCAACACCTCGGATGAGGAGGCTTGTGGGACATTTTGGGCTTTGAGCATTTTGTGAGCTAGGTGTGAGGGGAAAACGAAGCGCTAGAGGGTACTGTCAGCTGCAGTCTAGCCCTGGGTGGTCCTTTCCTACCCTGTCAGCCTGCCTAAAACCGTGTTACCCCTTGGCACTCCCAAGGTACTGACCTTGCCTATGCCATAAGGAACTTTTCATGCTTAGCTTGTGCCCGTTAAAAAAAGTTCAAATAGGTCTTTTGACTTCTACTCAGAGAACTTTGTATTCCCTGGGGATGGGGGTGGGGGGAATCTATGGAGACATGAATTGGCTGACATAAGTCATCTGGGTAAAAGGCCTGGGATGGTCCCCCCAAGTCTTAAACTGCCAAACAAGCTTTCCTTTACTATAGGCATTAACGTTGTCTAAAAGAGTTATTAAAACACCACATTTAGCACATAGGAATCCACTTGTCGAAAACTTTAAAGAATTTTTACAGAGTTTTGAAAGCAATTTCATTAGGCCCAATAAACCGCTTAAGGATGGCAATTTAATGGAGGATAGGGGTAGGTTTCAATTGCAGTAAAAACTAAATTAATTTCTTATTTTATGGATCAAATCTTTTGAAAAGTAATTGGTTTGGATGTCATGCTTTTCCACTTTAAGAAGGGGGATTTCCCTTCACTCTTTGCCTGAAAGTTAGCATGTTATCTTAAGTCATTTAATATCTAGAACTCAAATTGAACATTGGGTTTCAGGACTCAGGGCATTTAGGATCAATCTCTAAGGGCCTTAGAGACAATCTAGGCCAGGTGCTTCATTTTTTTTTTTTCCATGAGGCTTTTCTACAGTGACATGTTCATGTTTTATTACAAATCTTACAAAACTGAGATGTAGTAAAGCTAGTACTCTGCATTTTCTTGGTTATTATAAAATCATCTTCTAGTGTCCCTATTACCAGCACACACGAGTGTGTAATAATGGCAAAAGCTTAATTCAACCTTCAGCCTACTCACTAAATATGCCTGAAAAGTTACGCCACTGAGCTGTTAAATTTAGAACAGAAAGCATGAATTCAAGGTTAATGTACAAATGTTCTAACATGCTTTCTCGTGACAATATAAAGATAACCTTGAATTTGATCTGATGAAAATGCCCCACAATGGAACAGTTTATATCATTTCATTCATACTATACTAACACAGGTCCATCACTTCAGAATTTTAACTGTCAGGAGTATTGTAAAGCAGACTACGGGGATAGGTATGCGCTAATCAGAGTAATGAGATTTTTATCTTGACTGCAGTGCATGGCCTTTTCTGGCCACCAGTGAATTATGGCAGGAGTGGACAAAGATTGGGCACCCTGCCATTAGTTTCAGCACATCATCACTTCTCAGGAAGTGGGAATAAAGAATAAGTCCTATGAGGATTTGTATGTGCTACACAAGACGCCGGCTGTTGCTTAGCACTTGGTGGTCTGCTGAGCATTATTTCTCCAGTAGTTGTTTAGGGTTGATGAACAAACCGTTTATGTCTGATGACAGTGCTAAGATCCCACCTTTTGGAGGTGGGGAGTTACTGTGTGGTCTCCAAGTCCTCCAGTTGACGCTTGTTTTGGCCTTGACATTTGAGCGTATCTTGATGCTCTCAGGCTGTCATTCTTGAAGCTGCTGATGCAGGTGGTCTGTTTTAAGTGCGAGTGCGGATTCCCGCGGTCCAGCCCAGCTGTTGCGCGGCCCTCGGTGACCTAAGCGCTCGTTAGGTAGGGCGGGATTCCGCAAGGAGAAA